TCTAGAGGTGTGCGATGATAGGGTGGGAGACAACAGGCACAGCTTTGAACGTGGGGAATTCTGAATAGCTATTAGGTAAACCGTTTCATCTCAAGGATAGTCAGACATTGCACAAAGAGGTTGTGGACTCTCCGTCCCTAGACCTATTCTAAAAGGTCATAAGGATTTCAGAAGTTAAATTAAGGCTTTGTAAAATGTGTGGGTAACACTTCCCCCCCCCCTTTCATTTGCTTTTATTAATGTATTTTTATTCAATTTGAGTAATTGAAAATGCTTGTTTCATTCTTCGCTTGTTTTTTTAGTACAATGCTTTTCTGTCAGGTTGGAATTTCTATGTCTTCTTCCTGTGTCCTTAGGAGAAAGCTTCTATTAATCTCAGGCCAAGAAAAGCACCTTTTTTGTTTTAACACCTGTAATGTACTAACACTGTGTTTGAAGTTCTATTCTTTGGTGGTGTCATGATTCTTTGTGCTGAAAAGACTTTCTCTGAACTGTAGCCAAACATGCAAAATCTAGTAATGGACTTGATAAAAAAATTTTCCTATGTTATTCATGGTGCAATTTGGCAATATTGGCATAGTATTGAAAGAGAGATGCTATTACTTCAGCATGGAATACCAACAAGGAAGAAAAGATGTATCTCTGTACTTGTTCTGAATTAAGAACTTTGTATCTTGCTATAAAACTGTTGTTTTCCTCTGGCTTGCTTTTAACACGTTCTGTTTGTGACTGCATAGGAAAACATAAAACAGACTGTGGAACAGATAGAAGAGCATAAAAAACGAATAGAGAAGTTGGAAGAATATGCCAAGAAATGCACGTATGTTTAAAGCATTAAAAGCTAATTGGATTTCTTGTGTATTATATATTTTCAAATTAACATAGCAGGTTTCTAATTCTTTTCTTTCCAATTTTAATAAGGACTAGAATTCTTACTAATTCTAATTAATAATTCAGTTACTTTAGCTGTCAGAATAAAGTAGGAATTATGATGACTCATCTGTATGTTTGAAACAGTTTTATAGTTGCTTCTAATTTCTTGTGGGTGTGCAAATTACGTCACTACAGATAGGATGTGGGTCTATTAGTGTATAGATTCCAAATGAGAGAACAGGGCGGTTGTGTAGTTGTGCTGCTCTAGGAAGCAGTTAATATTTACACAGAGTATTAGGAGCACAGCTCAGTTCTTGCTTACTGGGTCTTGTCTTCTACTGCATTTTTAGTCTTTGTGAGATAGGCTATAAGCCCTTCATTGAGCAACCTGAACTAACTTTGACGTTAGCCTGTGTTTTGTGCAGGAGGTCAGAGTAGGTGGTCTCCAGAGATTTTTTAATTTTTTTTTCTCCCTGACCTGTCTTTTCCTGTGCATCTGCAGTGTGTGCTTGGGCTTAATGCTGTGTACTGAACAAAGTTCTGCCATATATGGGGAGCAGCAGACCCATTGTGGTTGGTATGATGCAAAATTACTTTTAATTAAGTAGGTGTAGTAGAGTGTGGTAGAGCCCTAATGACTTTGGTAAGTGTGTAAAGTGAGTCATAATTTTACATGAGAATTCTCAGTCCTGCTTAGTCTTACAATACCAGACCTTTTCTTGATGGAGGATGAAACAGTATGGTTGTGTTACACAGACAAAGACTCTCACCTGACTCAATTTTGAAACATTAAAAATGGCTTATACTATAGAATGCGACTCGTATAAGAAGTAGCTTCTTATAGATATTTAAAATCTTTAATGATTTTCATAGTCTGTGACCACGGAATGACTTAAATTTTATAAGCAAAAAGCTTGTATAAATGAAATAGTAAATTACTTTACTATTTTTGCTTCCCTTCGAAGTGAATCATTAGCAGAGAAGAAACAGCAAGAGGAAGTGCTGACTAAAGAAATGGAAAATGCGACAACACGAATGGCTGAAGTGAATGAAGAATTGAACAAAATAGTTGGTGAACTGCAGAATGCCAAAATTGATTACCATGAAGGAAGGCGTCAGCAAATGAAAGCAGAGATCCTGGAAAGTCTCAAAAGACTATATCCGGATTCTGTGGTAATTGAATGGCCTCATTTAAATGCCTTATTTTAGAATTAAGGCTGAGTAAGCAGTTAGAGTAAATTGGACTGTCTTGAATATTATTTTAGACTTCAAGCTTACTTGAGTGAGCTTGGTGAGATAGTATTACTGAAAGAATGGTAGTGTATGCTGTCATTATTTTTCACAGTTTCCAAAAACAGACAGATTACTGCTTGCGCCAAAGAATAATTTTGATCTTGTGTTCAATTTTTTTTTTTTAACTTTTGGTTTTGTTTTCTTCTCCTCAAACATATTTTTGACTGACTGACTTTGAACATGTGAATGGGAAGGTTAGCTGCGAGAACATTTGTTCTAGAAAGACTGCTTCTCCAAAAGGATGATTTTGTTCAGGTGCATGAGATTTTTATGTTACAAAGTGGTCTGTCTTTGCTTATCAGTTACCGTTTGGTATTACTGAAGAGAAATCTAAGTGTTTTGTGTATTGATTCTGAATTGTCGGTAGACACTGATTGTTTTATTGACACTTCAAAATATTTACTCCAACATTGGGAGCTATTCCAAATAGGAACTTTTAAATAACTAGTCAGATGAATAGTTGGTCTCCAAGTATGTCTCAGTATATGTCCTCTTTGATACACATAGTCAGTTAGGATGTACAAGCTAAGAATTTTTTTTTAATGTTTAGAAGGTGACTTATCTCTGCTTACTAGTGCTGCCATAAGAACATAAAAAATAAAATGTTTCCTGTTGTTCTTTGCTTCTTTTCTTTTGCAAAACTTCCTCAGAATCTGGCACGTGTCTGATCCTTTTGTTTTTTCAAGATATTAAGAAATTTGCTTTTCATCTGTTCTTCAGATTTTTTTTCATCTGTGTCAACAAGGTGTTCCAAAAAATCAAAAAGATGGTTGATATATCTCTTTTTTGCTCACTCTTTGCGTTGTTTCCCTATTTGAGAGCTAGATCAGAATGGTGATACTGTGCTGGCTTAGGGGAGAGCTGGCGTTCCCCATGTTCTCTGCTATTCAGCTTCAGGAGCTGCAAATTTAAGAGTATTTACAGATATGATGGCTTCTAAGAAGTGAAAAGTAGATAAGTTGATTAGGTTACATAAATTATCCCATTACAGAAAGTCTTAACAATACCTGCTTCCATTACCTTTGTTCCTGCACTAGTTTTCCCAACACTAGCATATGAGGCAACAGAGTTGCTTCTCAGCTGCTCCTTTGCTCTGGTGTACTCCTTTGAGATTGCTGAACACAATCCAAATTAAAGTCTCGAGATGGAATGGTCATGAGATGTTTCATCTTCTGGTAGTCTGCTAAGTACTGAGGCAGAACTGGAGGAAATCTTGGTGTTGTTCTCCTGAATTTTATAGACAAAAATGGCATACTGCTTCTAAATGTTTAGTTCTTGCATCCGTTTTAAAGCTTTTGTTCTTATGTGTCTTGGTTTGAAAGGCAGGTGTCTGTGG